TGACCTTAACTAACCAAATCACTTTATACTTGATCAAAGAGGCCAGATGTAGAGTATAAATACCACTTTTTAAGGATTTGCCGATGAGTTTTCTTGACTCGCTACCTCTAATTTTGTTGTGACGATGTTACCTCACTCTGATGATGTCCGTCATATGACCGACGAAAACTTAGCACGTTTTCACCGGAATCGAAGGAGATTGCCTCGGAAACAGCGTCAGCATGAATTTTCCGGTAAAGCCAATTGACAGCTGGTCAAGAGGAATCCGCCGTCGTCTTCTGGTGGAACCGAACTTCGAATCTCTTCACCCAACACTTCCACTCGAAGAGTAAGTATATTTTGCAATTAATGAGCTGAGCTTACTTCCTTCATATGACAGACACCGCCAGAGCTCATTGCAAAAGCTTAGGTTAGCACTAGGTCATTCTCCTTGGCGTAGTAATTATTAATATTATATTTGGTTGTATACTTGGCCAACCTTGAAATGTTTATTCGTGCTCTCTATTTGCATTTATTTACATGCGACAAAAGGCTAAATTTAAATGGATATCGAATCTGAACTACTAGTTTTGATTAAATCTGTGGAGTAGAGTATACAAGTTAGGTTATCCATAGGAGCAGTGGTTTGACCTCGTTTTCGAAACTTGGTCGTGTTTTTGGGGGGACCTAGTTAGACGCACATTGTCTGAAGTCCTCTGCTATAGTAGTTATCGTAATGCTCAAGTTGCTTTCAATTAGGTAGCCCTAACAACACGACCAAGTTGCGTAAACGAGGTTTGACCAATTCTATACATCTAAAGGAGATTGCGAAAAAAATGGAAGCCACAAAATCTTGCTCTTCACATCCCTAAGAGATTTGGTAAAACAACATGTTATATGGAAGCTAAAGAAAGTAACAAAAATTGTATTTGGGTGAACATAACAAGACCCGATGCAATACTCATCCGCAGTTTAGTGATGGAGGTAACATATCTAAATATATAGGCTGTTAGCCCCACTTTCATTTACAGATAAATCTTTAAAAAAATCAAAAATTTCGACAACTGCAAAAATACTCACTTGTGCTGCAAGGATGTTTTACGCAAAGATTGTTGTTGACGCGTCTCCTTTAATTCTTTCCTAACCAGCACCATATCACGTAAGATGAGCTGTTCTTCTCGTTTCTGTCTAAGTGCTTCACGATTTGTCTGCTATCATATTAAGCAATAATACATACAAAACAGAAAATCCCTTTAACAATATAGAAACATCAAAGGTATTATGTTAAAGAATTGAAACAATATGCAGTAGTGATGCTTTTGTTGAAGTTGTCTGAGCTTGTTTTTGCAATTCGTTCGTATTGTCAAAGAACGCATCTTGCCCGGAGTTCTCTGCCGCGAAAAGTTATGGTTCTGGACCGTAGACTTGGTGCATTCCCAGACGCTTTCAGTCATCGTCAGTAAGCCTTGTCAAACAGGAATTCATCAAAGAGACTTCTCTGATGCTGCAAAATATTGTAGCAGAAGACTGCAAACAAAATGTGTTCACCTAGATCGCTTTGACGATGCGACTAAGTTGCAAAAAGAAGGGCGATCTATGTCTGTACCACGAAAATAGATCGCGACCATAGTAATAGGCATATAATTTTGATCTTCATACCTACGAACGCTTTCATTGTTTACT